GCGGTGTGTCGGCCTTGTGGATCTTCGGCAAACCATAGATCCTAGGTGGTTGTTTGTGTCGGGGTCTGATCTTATTATTGCATCCACCACGATGAATAACAACAACCTTTTCCTCGACATTTGTTGTTGTGTTGTCGAAACATTTTCGAATCTTCCTCGAAAGTCCTCGGCAATCTTCGGTTATCTTCAGAAATCTTCGGAAAGTGGTCGGAAATCTTCGAAAAATCTTCATAAACGTCGTTATCAGTAAGTCTTTATAATGAACAAAATAATACATGGTTCCTTGTAGATATGGAATACCTCTTCTCGTGTTCAACGTAATATCTCGTTCGCTGCAGTTATATTCTGTTTTGGAAAAGCCATATATATTATCGTGGAAATCCACGATATGGGTATTATTTCCATCAACAAAACAATGACAAAACAATTGAAGTGAACGAAGTCCAAGACTTTTGTTTTTATGGTGGCTCTGAAAAGAGCCGTTTTGAATGGCTCCAGGGTCGCTCCACAAAGAGCCTTTTTAAAATTTTCTCGAACTTTTCGTACAAAGGAGAACTAACTGTTTCTTTTATAGCGGAGCACCGGCGGCCCGAAGGGCCGCCAAGCGAAGCCCCATACTCATATAGGAAAGAAAGTAAACCCATGAGTTGATTTTCTCATGGTTATCATGGCTAGCGGTATTGCTCGTGGGCGCGTACGCGCGACGACGGCGGAGTTGCCCAACATGGCGGCCATAGTCCAAATAATAGGTTGACAGACATGCAGCCTTGGTTTACCTTGTACTTTTTTGATATTGGACATCCATGTTATGATCAACTGACACCTGTCAAAACAAGGTATACGCTGACCAGTATCAGGTGACCATATCGCGGGCTCAAGTTTACAGCTCCTCGAGGGCACGTGTTATTTTTAAAGTTGACCGCTGACTAAGTGCTGGTTATCGATTGGATCGCGGGCTCATATTAGGTTAACTCGTTGGAAACAGGGCAGGATTGATAAATTAATAAAGATGGTGAATTTTAAGCTCGGTAATGAAATGTTAAGGTGAATTAATCAACGTGACACGTGCGTGGGACAAAGAAAAATTCTGAGTCCCCGACAGGAATCGAACCCATGACCTCCGGAACACCGGCGGGCGCTCTATCCACTGAGCAACGAGAACTCACGGAGAGCGAGGCCATTTAACTGAGCGCCTGCCCGGTGTTCGGGAGGTCATGAGTTCGATTCCTGTCTGGGACTCAGAATTTTTCTTTGTCCCATGCTCGTGTCATGTTGATTAATTCACCTTAACAGGGCAGGATTGTTCGGAAGCCGGTTAACGCTGACCCAGGATTAAAAGTTAACCGAATTATAAGTTTTTCTTCTATACAAGTGTTTTTTGCTGTTTTGTTTTGTGTACAGGGTGATTATTAAAACACAAAACAGAAGGCCAAACAATATACAGAAAACCTCACCGCAAAGTTACAAAACTCAAATCAAAATTCTACCTTTTCCTGGGTTAGCTTAACCGGGCTTTGAACAACCCGGCCCAGGAGCTACGCTTTTAGGCTGGCCTAAATCTATATATTGTTTCTGATTTTACTAGTCTGTCGATAAAGGTAAATAGAGTATGCGAGGTTTCAAAATAACTATTTTTGGAATGATAACAGTTTCATTAGACGTCTGTCGGAATTATGAACGTTTTTGTTTTTACTGCGATTTGACTGCGTTTGAACAACACTCTTTCGGACATTGGGTAACTTTTTTCGGGCAATGAGGTCACCGCTCCTACCCCCAAGTCCGAAGGTGTCCGTATTTGTGTGTGTATTTGTGTGGGGCTAAATAGTTTAAAGCTGCTCTTCAATAATGTTGCGCATGCCTTTATAGTGGTCTCTTCAAACTAGTTTTTGTAGGGCTTTTATTCTGTTTCATGTTCTCAGGCCAGCTTAGGAGCAAAACAGAGGAATGACACGTTAATAAAGTTCTTATGTTTATTATTATCTTATCCTCTCAGCTAGGAATCATAGCGGGAGTGACTGTTTCCGCGGCATTTGCGTTGTTACTAGTTGCTGTAGTTTTTATCTGTCGACGTCGCAGATCAAGGTAACCATTTGATAAAAGTTTAGGGCCTCGTGTGAACGCGGCTGACTGGCCTGAATAACACGAGAACAAGAATTTTTTAAGATATAAATCCCGTTATGTTTGTGGCACGACCATGTATTTATCTTAAAGAAGTTTCCCATACCTGCACGAAATTTGCTGCAGAGGGAAACTGTACGCCTTCTCAGTGACAATTTTTCATAGGACATAAACAAGACGAGTCCGAGGATTGTTAACCTTGTTGAAAACTAAGTTTGGGTTTATTACAATGCCAAGACAAAGGATTTTGCGCTATTTCAGAGTCATAGGCATGTGGTTTGGGGCTCACGGCGACCAGCTGGGCTTTTATTTTCGCCTTTTAATTCATTGAAACGATTATTTATTACTCACAGAAAGAACACTCATACAAGTACCTCTGATCAAACCAACCAGGTAAATAAGTGAGTTTAAGTTTGACTTGGTCTATCAAATTCTAGCACCCCCTAGACGATTAAAATAAAAATTTTAGTCAGGATCGTGATGGTAATAGCTAACCAATTCAGGATTACATGTTCTTCCGATGTACATGTGCATCATCCGGGAACATGCGATTACCTCGTTGGACACCTCGTAGCAGACTTCTTCCTCCAACTGGGAGCAAAGAGTCTAGGAAAAAGATTGGGATGTATATCAATTTTTTTATAGTTTCCAACCTCTAATTTTCTTCTTTGTGAAAAAGCAGGATGTCTTAATGAACTGCGAGTTTCAATCCCTAGCCTAAAAGGGTTCACCATTCTTGATGGGTCAGTGCTGAAATTGTTTGATTGCATTATTTTCTAAATTGTTTTATGATATTTTTGTTATTGCATTGAAATTGTTTTATTAGGATACATGTACAGTGTCAAGGAATGCGAAGACGAACTCAGAGTTGGAGCTGGAGGAAAATGACGGTTACGAAACCTGCGAGGAGCCATTAACATGTAGGCCGATACATTTAATAGGCTGGTTACAAATCAACTATATCTGTTACTTCTTTCCCTTCCTCTTTTGGCTGGAAAACCGGGCAGCGCCTCCTAATATCAAGAACTAAGCTTATACATGTGGTAAAGCACCGTTAAGTTCTCCCTTGTGAACAGCATTTACCCAATAGCATACTTTGGGCGTGGCTCAGTCTCTCTAAATAGTATCGTATTTTAGCATTTTATTGTAAATAATATATTTTTAGCATTCTAATTATTTTTAGCTGAGGGCCCCAAGTTTATCAGTGGCTTGGGTTGCTGTCGCGGGTCACCCTCATTAAATAAAGTCTTTCACTTCACTTCACTTCACTCTCGAGGTCGTTATTGCAGTCGTCATGCAGTTCTACTCCAAGCACTGCGTGACTCTAATAGCCGCTATTATGAAGGAGACAGGGACTGGTGAAATGAAAGGGGGCGAGGGGGTGGGGTCAAGCATCAACATCAATAAATCAATAAGGTTCCCTGCAGGTCAGTGAGGATTGCAGTGAACTACACCTTTGTAAAATGGTCTTTTAATTAATCGCTCGATACTTTTTACGTAATTATTGTACCTCTATTATATTTACAGACAGTGATATTAATTTATGCTGTGACATCCTTCTCAGCAATTAATGCTTCTAGGTATGGAGTACCTCAGCAGCAGGTTTTACAAAGACCATTATGCAACCAAAAGACCATCTCGTCAGAGGGAAACTCTCATTCAGACGGTGCATACGCTGAGGTTGATATCCCAGAGGGACACCATATCTGTGGGCATGGAAACGTACAGGAACCAGTTTACAACGTTCTCCAAGATCCTAAAATAATGTTCCAAAATTATGGCTCTGGTATAGACCAACCTTTGTATTATACCTTGGAGGGCCTATCAGTTAAGGACTCAGGCGAGTCTGTTAATAATGGCCCTAGTGATCCAGAACCAGTGCACAACGTCCTCGAAGACCCTGAAGTAATGTTCCAAAATTATGGCTCTGGTATCGACCAACCTATGTACTATGCTTTGGAGGACCTATCAGTTAAGGACTCAGAGGAGTTTGTTAATAATGGCCCTACTGAACCACAACCAGTCTACAACGTTCTGGACGAACCTTACACAAAAGGCGCAGAAGAACCTGCGTGTCATGGCAATGCAACTGTTGAAGGTCCAGTTCACAACACCCTGGAGGAACCTAATCATTATGCTGGTTATTCATGCAAAAATGAGCCAGTTTATAAAGTCCTCGAGGCGTCTGGTCTTATTGGTGCCAAAACGACTGATGGTTATAACCCAGCAAGTTTTCAAGACCCAGAATATAACGTTCTAGAAGGCCCAGAGCCAGATGAATCAAGTGACGATGGCTAGCTTGTATTGAAACAGCTCTGGGATTCAAGTAGCTAATACTAAAAGAACATGACACGAGAGAGAATTCTTAACATTTTAATTTACTTAAAAAAATAGTACAACTTTCATCTATGTTGTGCAATGACTTAAGTCAAAAGAACTATACTACAATATACTGCCATCATGGATAGATAATCTTTATTTATCCACGGTACAAACTTCGTCAACTTTAAAAAATACCTAATACTAATATAATGAAAAACATTTAAATAAAAAGCTGCTCTCCACGAATGCCGTGCCTTACAGTTCTTCTTTGAGTAGTCGTTTGAATTGCCCAAGGGACTCTGCTTCCCTTAAGTTACAAGGAAGACTGTTCCAAAGAATTTCGCCACTACGGCTGAAGCTATTTTTTGTAATAGTTTGTGAGCGGTAATGGAACATTGAGTTTATTCTCAGAGTCCCTTAGGTTATACTGCCATCGTATTCATTATAAAACACTAAAGAGGTAATAGTAAACAGCTGAAGAGTCTAGGGTGGGTCTATATTGAAAAACAATCCTAGGCTTATTGCAAACAATGAATGTATAGATACTGTACATGTGCATAGTTAAATATTTCAGGATGCATGTGCCATTACTAAACATAGGGAACCTGAAGAACGCTTTGATTTCGGTGTGCAGTCAACTCTTTCTTAATGGACACCTTTATAAGACAGACACCTGGTGACGTTCCCGTCATTTCTCAGTCATTTTAATGTAACAAAATTGTCTATAAAACGGACATATCTCGAAGGCAGAAAACGCGCACTTTGAAACCTCAACGGACTCTTCAGAAGTGCTTTAAAAGAGAAAAATTATTCAAAACGGAAATGTAGATGCTGAATGTTACAGCAAATTATGATTTTATACGTAATACGTATTTATAAATCAAAGATCAATTTATGAACCAAAAAATAAAACTGATTAACTATAGTATCATGCCAAGAGAAAGGGAAACAAACGTAAGATAGGTAACATTTTACTCCTGTTGTGATATGAGAAACGAAACCGTTTTAATGAAACTGTACTTATTTTCAGTCAGCCGAGGTACGTATAAAATTAACGAGTTTCGTTCCATTGAACTAAAATGTCTCTTGCTGTGAGATGATTTAGCTCTGGGTGTACTGTTACAATTAAGTGCATGTATTTTGTTCCTCTGCATATCGGCAGGAAGGAATTGAATTTTAACCAGTATAAGTTTCTTTGAAGGGTCAATTCTATTCTAAATATTGCGATTTCACAAACCAAATGACAGAAATAAAATATCCTTTATGAAATGTTATGTGTGCTCAGTTTTTGTTGGGCTGCAGCCAAAACTTAAGCCGGATCACGTTCCTTGGAAAATGAAAACCTTTAATTTTGGAATATTTGTTGACATAACATTCACACTTGAAAGATTGAAAACGATGACTCACTCACTCTCTTCACAGAAACGGAAATTTTCCCGGAAAACGCCCTCCAACATAGAGACTTTTTAAAAGACCCTTGAAAATGTCGTCATTCCATTTGAACAGCGAAATCAGACTTTTTAGAAAAGTTTATTTTCCCATCCCTTTGACTGATCCCGAAAGAAAGATAAAAGTAAGCGGAGTGGCCGTGGGTGGAAGTCCTCAAGATAGGTTTCAGTGGTTTCAGACCTTAAACTGCTGCTTATAAGCTCTGGGTTAAGACAACTTCGTAAGGGGTTTTGGATGGACTTATAAACCGAAGATTGCCTACAGCAAAGTTGATCGAAATTCATAAACTGATTTTTAATTGAGCTTTTTAGTTTTTCATTTTAGTCGTTTAACCAAACCCAGAGCAATCGTATTTAGCCAATCACGACAAATAGAGCTTACGAGATGATTCAGTCGGAATTCGTCATACAGCCAGTGACAGACGTCAGAGAAGGCAGACATCAAAACCGCCGGCGGTACTCTCTAGATTTTTCGCTAGGGGTGTGCCACTGGGACTCTGAAACCCTTACCCCATACTAGACCATGATCACCTTGATTTTGAAATCCTATTCTAGACTAGGCACCAAAAACCCCTACCCTAACCCAGACTAGCTATTTTCCTCCAGAAACTTCATCACTTTCGGAGTCCAACATAAGCAAATTAAACCAATGTCTTACAAAGTCGACACTTCCGAGTTTCAGTTTCTATTATAGAACCCCGGGCAAAGAGCCTTATTTTAGATTAAATTATTTATACACTGGCCACTTCTCCGGCAAATTATACCCTATTCTAGCCCATGTGACCATTTGACCGTCGTTTTTTGCAGCACAAACAAGTGTATTCATGCTTTATCCTTCCTTCTTGCTGAAAATCGAAACAACTTGAACCTCAATCAAACACGGCGCCAAACTATAACTAGCCATAATACCAATAGGCATCGTCGCTTACGCTTATGCTTTTTGTGGGACAACCTTTGTCGAAACCTCTGTATTTGGATGACCGTATGACCTTCGCTAATTGGTGTTCTGAATATCGTCGGCAATCTTCGTGTGATAATTTGTATATCTGAGCTTTACCATGGTCTCAAATATTTGGATAATCATGGAAACTGCATGTAATAGGCCATTTCCGAGTTGTTTTTTGCCTCTGTGTCAAAACGAGTCTAAGTGCGAAACCATTCATATGAAAATGAGTTCTGCCTACAGGTTCATATATTTTTATGCAAGTCAAAGTCATTTTCGTCCCTAGATTAGTTATGAAACAGAGGCACAAGGAAACTCGGAAATGGCCGATTGACTATGGAAGGAGCAACCTGGCTCCCAGATTCTCACTTCTTTCGGCTGCACCTAGAGAAAAGAGATCCCAGGAATGAGGTCGGGTGCTGTTCGGGAAACTTCGCCATGCAATCGTATCCGAGCTTAAAGTAAACGTTTCATTCAGAAATTACAGAATTAAACTCTTTCTGACAAGTCTATGCAGTATAGAAATGCTATTATTGCAATTAAAATATGGAAGTGACCAGAACTGAGTCATTTTGAAGAAAGAGGAAACAAACACATTGCTTTCATACTTGCGGGTTTTGACTGATCTATTGTTTTCTACATAGCGCACGACTAGCCTCAGTTAGCTGTAGTACGACCTAAACTGAATCACCGTCAAAAATACTCAATGCTGCATTACACTCTACGAAATTTTAAAGAAAAGAATTACCGACTGAAACAAAGTTCAACCAGGTCTAATCATTATCGGTAAAGAAATATTAGTCTTGCCTTGTTAATTATAACAAGCCTGCGGAAGTAAATTTTCAACTTCGAAAATGGATCGAAAGTAGCTGAAATTATTTATTAGGGACAAAGCGTATTGCTGAAGACAAAGGGAACAATGACAGTGTTGTTTCGAACTCAGAATTGTCGCTGTACTTTCGACTGGGAGGGAAGACGTGTCAAGATTCATCTTGTAAACTTGTGCGAACAAGCTGGAGCAACATCTGGAAGTTAACTTTTCTGCTCTCTTCACAACTTCACTAGTTCTGGATCATTCGGAACTATTCAGGTCGAAAGGCTCTTGTCTTTTAAAATATAAGCTTGTGCGCTGGTGACATATCATGAAGATATCACTGGCGAAGATCTTTATAACGATGTTATTTTACATCGAGACTACGTTCCCAGAATCCATCAAAATTATCAGGACTCTAAAAGGAAAAAAATTGAAAAATGGCGAAGATTCGTTTCACATACTTCAGTCAGTATGCTACCATGAAAATACTGGATGTAGCAGTTATTGCAATACATCCTTTACCACAGATGAAACAGACAATCACAGTCGTTGCTTGTGCTCCTGTACCTGCTCCAAAAGATGTTACTCTACAGTAACTTATTTCGAGAACAAATGGAGATGCCTGAAAAATGAAGAGGTGCGAAAACAACTCGGTGAGTAATTTGTTTTTTTATTTGTAATACAGTAGATGACTGATATTCATCATCTGATGGTCATGAAATAACGATGACAATGAAAGTTTTGCTTCAACAAACTCAAGACTGAAATTGATGATTCGCCCTGCGTTTTGAATCTAGTTATAGAGGTAGTTTATGTTTCCTTTGCAACATTGTGATACACATATCGCTGGATAGTTCAGGATGTTTCCTAGCTCTTGTCGACTCTTTAGTTAGACATATTTTAATTAAGTCATCACTGATAAGTATCGACCTGCTAATATTTTCTTCGATATTGCTTATCCGGAAATTGAAATCGAAACGCGCGGTCTCGACAGCGAGACTTAATTAATGAAAGAGTTCGAATACTACAAGTGATCTCTCTACCTAAATGCATGCGAGCGCGCATGTTCAAAACTGGTTTGATGACTCATTGAGCTCCTAGTTACTACAAATGCACAACGGGGCTATTTACGATGATGCTGATCAGATTTTCACGACTGGCTGGGTTTTAGACAAATTATGCTGACTAGAAGCTTAAGGCGGGATGCATTGCTTGTTCAAGGTCGTCCAATTCACTTTTGAAAATATTCCAAAAGGAATGGATGGTAGCTCAAACCTCCATTTTGTTCAAATCCAATAATAATTCGTTTTGTCAATTGCGTCATTGATAACAACCCTACCCCACACTGGAGTAACAGACTTTAGCCTGGGAAGTGTGGAATAACGATTGTATGTATATGATAGGGATCTACGGGTGCTACATGATCCTGCATGTTATGAGATGTCAATGCTTACGTTTTCATTCAGACTCTGTGAACAAAACTCGTTTTTCTTTCTCGCCAACCACTAAATCCATGCGATTTTTTCTTTTGGCAATAGGCTGTGAGATAAATGCGACCTTATTTGATGATGAAACGGAAAAAAGCAATTTACGTACGCTCGCCCCTGTGAGTAATAAGAAGGCCGGGAAAACAAAGCTTAAAAATCCTAACGGCTCATGCACAATAAACGTCAGTTCTTCCTGGTACATTGAATGTCTTGGTAAAAAGGTTCCTCTTGGACTACACACCAATAGAACAACGGAAATGTTTCTTCTTAAGCGGCGTAAAAACGGAGCTTACTTCATTAAGGTGAGAGTTGGTTTAGTCTGTCGATGGTCTGTACATATATTATGATTTGCAGCTGGTACACTCTTTCCTTTTAGGAGAATATCGAGGCTGAAATTTGCCAAATTTTAAGGATATTTTAAGAATAAACCCGGGGTTGAGATATTGCAAAGAATATAATTTTGTTTGATGAAAATTTGTAAATACAACATAATGATGTGTTTTTAACTAAACCGTATAAAATTCTTCTTTCTCTAAACGGCAAACCTGGTCAGAAAGCAACAAAAACATCACTAGCCGTATGCTCAATGCCAAAAACATTTCTGAAAGAAGTTATGGGCGCCATTTCAGGCTTTATAGCCTGCAGTGTGGCTCCAAAACTACTTATACACCATCCAGACACCAAATACATTCGAAAACTGAAAAATGTCATACGTTATAACCTAAGAATATTCGAATATTTTTAGCCTAACATCGATATCAGCAGAAAAATAAGAATGTTGAGCCTCGGCCAGATAAAACAATATTCTTATAGAAAGGAGTGTATTCGAGACTACTCATTCGAAATGAAGACTGTCATGCCTTGGTTGGTTTTCGTTAATTCACTGACAAAGAAAATGGCTATGAAGCGCCATGCTTCAGGTTATACTTACTTCCGTCATCCTTCCGCAGTGGTGGTATATTGACCTGAATTTGTGGACTCAGCGGATAAGTATTCAAACAGCGATAAGGCCAGGGAAATTATTAGAATCTTGACAAAACGCAAATGAAAGTATTTCTTAATTTCACCAGCATACCATTTGATTACCGTTAACATCATGGGTGACAAATTACCCTAACAATCGTGTTTTTTTGACTTGTTTATTGTATGGAGAAATTTTGTGTCGAACATTGCCATGGCAATTTTGCAATTTTATATGCAAAATTATAAATTAACACTGAAATTTTGCGCCAAAATCAAGGAGTAATTTGTCACCCATGATATTTCTTTCGTAATCACACAAACGCTTTAAAATACGAAAATAGCCAAAAAGAAGTTATTATGGCAATTCAGATAATTTAATATTGATCTCAAAGACTAGAAGCGACTTAGCTATTTTAAATATCATTAAAACACTTATCTTAAGGATTATCTACATGAATTTACAATTGTGATTATTCTAACAGAAGCTTAGCCCCATCAGATTTTCCTTATTGGGAAAAAATTAATAGAGCGATTTTCACTGGCCAGAATTAATAATAATTAAGTAACAGAAAACATGTACCGTGTTTCTATCGAGTTATAGAAACACGAGTGGACGTTTGGGAGAACGAGAAATGCTGTGGGAACACGAGCCGAAGGCGAGTGTTTCTACAGCCTTTTCTAGTGAGCGAGTGTAGCGAGTGTTTCTCTAACTCGATAGAAACACGGAGAACATGTTTTCTATTTCTTTTAGAAAACAACGCGACCAAAAAAATGGAAAATAACTTGATAACTTTGATTATCAAGATGTAAATTCTCGTTGCTCGCGCCATCATTACGTCAACAGCTCGTGCTAGTTCTGTGTTTCCATCGAGTTATAGAAACACGATTTTTAACCAATCAGCGTGAGTATTTTCTAAAGGCTGTTTTCTAATAGACAAATAGAAAAGGGAAGATAACACACTTCGAGGTGATCCTCTGATCCTAAAATCACCTGGTAATTTTTTTCTACTTAAACAGGTCCATTACACAACTGCTCCCATTTTCAGAGGAAAGGTCATCAACCTGGGCATCACGTGCAAGCCGCCGATCCCTATCGCGGAAGATTGTCTGCTATTCAAACTAGAAGGAAGCTTTACATGTATGTATCGCGTGTGATTTCATCTTTACGGTAAATCTATATCAGGTTGACACGATGTTCTATAGTTTTTAAATTATCTTTTTTCGTTGGCAGGTGCTCTAGATAGATCAACAGAACCCATCGTTTCCTCAACGATAAATCCTACCACTTCGTCTGTAGTAGTAACGCCTCTATCTACGGTAAGGGCAGCATTGCCTCAAAATTATTACAAGTTAAGAGAGCAAGGAGGTCTAAACATCAGTGCCAATTACCAGGTTCAGGTTTGAGCCTTGGCCGCGTTCGTTCACAGTTGTTTGGTTACATTAACTTTATTTTCACGGTTTAAGATACTTCTTTCCACATGGAAAATACAAATGAGTGGTTCTACTGGCGAACTGTTAGTGCAGCCTATCAGAATTCAGAGGGTGAGAAGGTATCAATGGGTAGTTCTACAAGTGAATTGTTAGCACGGCCTGTAAGAATTCTTGAGAGGGTGAAGGGAGGGGGGTAATCTGTGCTGGTGCAGCCTCCCATCGGGTATGGGGGATAGTACATGTCTAATGGCGCCCCTGGTAGTTGCTCCGCTGTTTATGTTACATAAATCAAAGTGAAGTTAAGCGCACACTGATGACAATCTGGTAGCCTACAAAAACGGCCGTTCTTCTTCGCTCGCAGGCTTACAGTCTGGTATTCCACGGCAATGTTCTTTTTTCCATAAAATAGAACGGACTGTTCTTTTTCCCAATGCAAGTCACTTTACCTCAACGCTTTTAGGTCATTCATGCATCGATGTTACAAAATCTTAAATTGATATGTCTGAAGTTAAAGCTCTCAAGTACAGCATATCGTAATAAAGTGTGCATAAAATGTGTATATTGTATATCTTTTAATTTAAGCTAAAACGGAACAGGAAATTAATACTATTTCTATGCAGACGCTTTTGAAGACAGCTAGTAAGTTATCAGTTAGTCCAACTCAGGTAGTTTGGTGCACGCAGATTTGTTCTTGAATTCATCCCTTTGCCGGACAGACTTCCGTTTTTCAGGCTTGGTAGAACTGACAATCAATATTTATTTAACAAATAAAGAAGCCGTGTATTACTCTGCGATAAAACACGACGGGCATTTGAGAACACGAGAGAAATGTAGGAAACACGGGCAGCAGGCGAGTGTTTTCTACATTTCTCGAGTGTTCTCAAATGTCCGGAATGTTTTATCACAGTGTAATACACGGCTTAGGCTTCTTCATTTGCTTTATGATATAGAGGTAATGTGGCAAAAAACAAGAAAACACTCTTTATGTATGTTTTATATTCTGTTATAAAATAACTGAGATACTATGCACGCTCTGATTGGTCAATAGAGTTGCTAAACCTACATGTACCGGAAAACCATCTATGGCAGCTCCACGCGGGAACTAGAGAACTCGGAACTCTAGCTATAACAAATGTAATAAACAGTTTTGCCTTTCACTGGCTGAGAGATCAATAACAGGAATATCTTTTCCTTCAACATATACGTGGAAATTTGCAAGGAACAAAAGGACCAGAAGTTGGTCGTCATATAAAGCTTTATCTTTTCCACGGCAAAAATTTTACGCCGACTCCGGTTACGCTTGAGATTAAAATTAAGGAAGTTTTAACCCCTTTTTTCGGTGCTTTCCACGGTCTTTGGAGGACGAAGTCAGCCTGGCTTGACTGATCAATCTGGGTTGTCGAAAAAGCAGGGAAAGATTTCTTTCTATCAGAAATTTTGAGTTTAAACTCAATGCATGCATGCATAACACAATAAATGAATTTGGTATCCCGGCATAAGCTTAGCTTTCAAGCAATAGTTTTCATTTAGCAAAATACAGAGAAACACGGACTTTATAGCCTTCAGCGCGAGCATAAGTAAATAAATTCTGGATAAATTTGGGAAGCAGCATTTCTGTAACTAACCTTTATTTCATTCGCAAAACTTTGGAAAGTTATCTTTAAACACTGCGTTGAATCACTTCGCCAAGCACATGAAGTCTGGACTACTTGCACACTTTTTGTACAGCCTTTTAATTTCGTGATGACCGATTCCACGTACGAATCCCTGTATTTTCCCGTCTTTTTGCCTTTCACCGTTAACCTTTTCCATTCCTTTCTTAAAACTTTCTTAGCGTGAAATGTTTCCGTCGCGTTGCTCTGCGGATTTCGTGTCCGGCGCGGAGTCTGTGCTTTCATTCTTTCAGTCGCTGTGATTGGTTTGTCGCGTCATCTCATGAATTTGATGAGAATAAGCAACTTGATCACAAAAGTACAATAAATTTTCCTCTCATTGACAGACTTTTTCCATAGTTATTTCACGAGAAAAGCTTGCAAATCACTGGCCTAACGGCTCGTGGTTTATTGCGCCAGTCAACCCATAGAAAGAGTGGTCTATTGCTTAATTAAAACATGGGTTTTGGGCCAATTAGAGCTCGCGCGCAGTGTCCTGTCTATATTATAAATGTACATCTAAAAGGACAAGTTAAAACAATAAACTACAAAAAAGAAATAATAATAAAAAAATAACTGTAGAGATCCTTCTATTTCTCCGCAGACGTATTTTGAGAAAGCCAATGCGTCGGTAACGATTGATCCCACCCAGGTACGAGCTTTGTAACCGATCTATATCTATCTTAGTACAAATTGTATATTTCACGCATGCGTACAAATGCAGGCCGGTTTGTTCTTAAATTCCTCTCCGATAAAAGACCTTCATTTTGTAGACAAGGTAGTGCTGATGATCAATGAATTTGGCGTTGCATACAGCTGTTTCGACAAAGGCTGTCTCACAAAAGCGAAAAAGGGTATACGAGACAGTCCGATTGGTGTTATGACCTTGTTATGAGTTGTGACAGCTTATAGTTGCTTGTTTGAGGTTCACGGTGTTTCAGCAGAAAGGAAGGGGAAGCGTGAATACACGTGTTTGTGAGTTCTGTGAACAACTTTAGTTTCAATCAAGCAACAGTAAACCGCGCGCCATTACCCATAATACCTTTGGACATTGTATAGTGTAGCGCACACTTGTACGCATGTGTAGGACTGCCTTTTTCAAAACCGATAGCTGTATGTGTTTTTTAGAACTGCAAGGTACAGTATCACGAAAATAAACTCCAAGAATATAAAAAGAAGAAGAAAAATCAAACTCTAAATTGACCCTTTTCTCTACAGACATATTTAGATAAAGCTTCTCCATCAGCAACACTTGGACCTACTCAGGTAAGAATCTCCAAGCCTGCTACATGCCTTCCGACTATGGGGACACTAAATTTGGGCTTTGTTTTTTTTT